CATCGCCGAAAACACAGAGCGAGAACGTATCAAACAGCACAGTCGCACAATTCCCCAAAGGGAAGCCGCACTCGGGTGTGACCATAAGAGGACATGGAATCACGCCCGTCGCTCGGTTCAGCATCATCCTCCAGATCGTCAGACACAGGTACTGTCGAAACCTCATTCCCAGCATCATCCTCTACTTCGTCCCTATCGAAGGCTCTTGCAGCCCACTTCTGTACAATCGCTTCCTTCGTCGGATCCAGTGTAGTGTAAGCAACCCCATCTTTCTCGCAAATCGCTTTAACCTCGTCCTTATTCTTCTTTCGCAAATCCTTGCGTGCAGCACGAACAAACGCCTCTCGGTCAACGATCTCGACCTCCGTGTTAATGGCAGCCTTGCCCTTATCTCGAAGCGTTGAAGGACAAGCCGCCTCATCCAAACTGGCCTTTAAGTTAGTAGCAGTGGCAGCGGTCTTCTTCTCCACCTTAAGCTTCTCCATTTCTTTCTTAAGACGGTCAACTTCAGCTTCAGACTGCCTCCTTGTGTTCACCTCCCTCAACCGCATATCTTTCATCAAGTTAACCTCGGCCTGATGCCTCTCAACCATCCCCTTCAGTTGCACAGTGACCCGACTCGGCGGTGTGGGGGCGGAAGTCATCCGCATCCAACCCCCTAGCCTAGGTGGTCGGAGACTCACCAATAGCAACACTCCCCCGTTTGTTTCCAGGCCGAAGCGCCTCCATCTTCCAAGCCTCTGCGTTGGTTTCGGCGGTCTCGCACTGCCATTGCAGAGCATGGATGACCTCCTCCAAGCTGCTCAATCGCTTGTCAGTGGCAGCCTTCAGCTCAGCTTGCCCTCGTCGAAGCCTCAGCACCTCATCATTCTCAACAACAGGCATAGACACCGTAGCAGAAGTACTAGCACCACGGTTCCTCTTCCCAATTTCATCGCCACGCGACTTCAATTTCTCCAGTTCCTCCTTATCACTGTTCTTCTTTCCGTTAATTGCCGCATACATTTTGTCGATCTTCTCAGACATCTGCGCCTGAAGCTCCTCACGTTCCTTCTTCTCTCGTAGTCTTTTTTCTTCTTCTCATTCGTGCCGTTTGCGATCTTCACCTTCTTTATGCTGACGTTCTCTCTCCTTATCAGCGTCATGCTCAATCTTCATTTTGGCCACCAAACCCTCCAAGGAACTAACTCTCTTCCCTAATCCCCAGCCTCCACCACCACTATACTGTCCAGGGAAAGGGGGGATAGCAGTATCTACATTAGTACTAGCAGGCACAGTAAGTATCGGGGTCTGTACAGGAACCAAAGCATTAGACGGCTAAGCAGGAACAATATTGTTAGGTTGTTGACCCCCATTCAGCCTACGATCAGGCAAGGGGCAGTACCTGGAGATATGACCAGGTTGTCCGCAGTTATAGCACGAACGAACTAGAGGACCGTTTTTCTTTCCGTTGGACGCCATAGCACAAAGCGAAGTCACACAACGATAGTATTATTTCCATGTCGGTTACTTCAGGAGCAAAACTATGACATTCAAAGCATGCACATAGATAGCAGAAAAATGAAAAGTCCAACTTTAAGCAATCGGCACTCAGAACATCCACGATAGCTGCAAAGAAGAAGAGGTAGGAGAGGGTAGATAGGAGGAAGAAGAGTCAAAGAGAGTCATGTCCCGAATGCGACTGTATTGAAAAAATAAGCGTGATGAACAAGAAGCGGAACCAAAGCTCCGCGCGGCGTTACAACCCGACCGGTTTCCCCTGGCCGCCAACCAGGACTCATGAGGAGTCTAAGTCGGTAGCCAGGACATGACAACAAAGTACCACCAGCTACGGAAAGCCAGATACCACGAGAGGCTCTCAGACCGACTGGAAAGCCATCAACCTACCGCTTCGTGATCATCAAAGAAGACCAGATTCACTACTATCACACAGCAACTCGCATCCAAAGCCAGTAAAAAAACATTGCAAACCTCACTAGAAAAGGGCAAAAAACGTACCACTACAACAACTCATAGCCGAAGAACATCTCGAACCCAAGTACACAATTCAATCCCTGCACCGGGCCTAAGAAATCATCCGGAAACACTTCGGTTTTGGTGATAGGTCATCCAGGGGGGTTGGCAGGTATAAACAGTGACTAAAGGGCTTAAAAGTTAAAAGGGTACATTTCATACTTGCGGCGCACCGGCACTGTGCGCTGCGCGCGGACCCAGAGTGCGCACGCATCTGGGTGCGCAGTGCGGTGGATTCATTTGATTTTGTTCTCTCTCTCTCTCTCTCTCTCTCTCTCTCTCTCTCTCTCTCTCTCTCTCTCTCTCTCTCTCTCTCTCTACATCTAGATGTGTATAAGAGACAGGAGGGGGGCCGCCCAGCAAAACCAGACGGGTCAAAAAAGAGCCAAGGATCCCGAAAAAAAAAAAAAAAGACTTCAGGCCAGGACAGCGCTTGTGT